TTTTTAAAATATTCCCCCCAAAAAACCCCAAAAGGGGGGTTTTTTTCCCCCCCGTTTTAATATTTAAAAAAAAAAAAAAAAAAAAAAAAAAAAAAAAATCTCCTATTAAACACCATTTGTTTCCCACTTAATTAGTTAATCCAAAAAAAATAAACATACAGTGTATTGGTATTGTGTTGATTAGAAACTAAACATCAATACATGGGAGTTTTCGCATGTTGACATTAGAAGTATATTATTAACTGGAGATGCACCTTTGCTACAAATGATCAAATGTTTACTAATGGAATAATAGATTATTGAATTTTAGGAGATAAAATGTATATTTTCTTATTTGTAAAGGAACTGACTTACTCATTTATTTACATTTTTTAATGCATTTCTGATACGGGACCAAAAGTAAAAAGACTTGAATGAAAAATCTGCAGAATGTCCCAATATTGTTATCTGATTAATCGTCAGAATAATCAATAATTGAAATGGCCATTAGCAACCCGACGATAAAACTCTTAACATAAATAAGCCAAGTTACCTGAGAGCCCAGCAGAGTCTTTGTGTAATAATCTCTTGGCATGAAGACCTCAACGATGGCTACAAGAGTCCAAAAGGCATCTTCCTGGTCTAGATACAGCAAGGCGATTGCTGCTAGCCTAAAGAAAACACGCATTAATTAGGAATCATTAAAAAAAAAAGCCGGCAAATAATAGAAGCCCAGAGGTGCCAGATGTGGTCAGATACCTGTTGAGACCCTGACAGTAGCCGATGTCTGGATTCCTCCAGGAGAAGGCCACCAGGACGTTCCGCAGCTTGTTGATCCCGCCCGCGCTCGGCGAGGCATAGTGCTTGTTGTTGGGCAATGTCCGGAGCAAGTCCAGCTCGATCTGCTTGGACGCCGGGTTGGGCCGATCCCGCGCCACGTTCAGCAGCGTCTCGTAATAATCCGGGGCCAAGTGGTCGCGGAACTTCTTGACGTGGAAGGTGACGCACCAGCGCCACACGATGGAGCGGTGCTCGTGCGGCACGCCGCAGCGGATCAGGGCCTTGAGCTCGGGAGAATGCACCAGGTCTCTGTTCATGGTGCTGGCCAGAAAGTTCTCCCACTTCACCCCGACTGAAACCTCCTGGTCGGTCATGGACAGGGACTTCAGCTCCAAGGCCCTCAACTTTGCAACCAGCTTCTCCTCTTCCTCCTCTTCCTCTGGGACCGTTTTGAAGCCGTACACATCGTATTCACTGACGGAGAGAGAAAATAAAATTAAACACCTTCAATCTGCAAACAGATAAAAGAAAAAGAGAAGCTCAAAGGTAGAAACTAAGTTTCTTAGGGTTGCTTCGGATATATAATAATACATTTGCACCATGACAACATGCCTGAGCTTGTCTGGAAGTAACAGCAAATAATGACTGAAAAACACCAAGCAGCAGACGGAGTTTTTCCAGTCACGAATATTAGCATGCAGCTATAAATTAAAGTAGAACAGGTCCTGGGGCTGCACAAACCTCGCCTTTGAGAAACAGATTTCTTCCTCATTGATTTCAGGTGAAACACAAACAAAATCAGACAAGCTCTGGTCAGAGTTCCCCTCTCAAATCTTTTCACACTTTGCCACATTAAAACCACCAGGTTCTGTGTGTTTCAGTGGGATATTATGTGATTAAAAAAAAATAAAATAAACACATAGCACATAACTTGGAAGTGGAAGAATAATGACACTTTTGTTTTTTCCTCAAAAAAATCTTAAAAGTGCGGTGGGTATTTTCTTTCATCCAACTTCAGACAATACTTTAAAGAAGCAACTCTCGCTGTAATTGCAGCTCATCATTGCACTTTTCCATAAAGCTCAGATTTATCAACTGCACTTCTAGTAGATTAGAAGTCTGCAGAATCTCCCAACTGAGCTGAGGATCTCTGCAGCTCCTCCATAGTTGCCATAGTTACCACGGCTCTTATGGCTGCTCCTTTGCTAAATACTCTCCTTGCCCAGCATGTCATTTTGAAGCTGAAAGGAAGAACTCAGTTCTAGCAAACAATTAATACCTGACTGAATTTGGTTTGAAGATTTGGTGTTCGTTCTGGTCGGGGCTCTCCGCCTGCAGGGCATCCTCCAGTAATCTGGAAATGACTTCCCGGGCCGGATCCTCCTCCGACGAACAGACCGGCTTTCTCACCTCCTGAAGCAGCACCAAATATTTACTCTCCACTTGACAGAGTTTGGCCTCCAGAGCTGTGCACTGCGACAAGGGTGGGAATAATGGTTTTAATTTCTCACACATTCAGATTTGTGAAGATCGAGTTGAACTTATGCAAGTTTACAGTTTTTTTTATTTTTATTTATTTATTTATTTATTTATTTTTACCTTTGCTTCTAAAGCCTTTTCCCGAATCTCTGCGTTCCTGCGCAGGACAGTCAACTCCAGGATCTCTTTGTTCAGAAACTTGTTTTGGGATTTGTAGCCTTGAAGACTGTCCTAATATTGAAAATAAAAGAAGCAAACAAGTTTAAAATCTTTAAAAGATTTTAAAACATCTTTAAAATAAAGATGTTTTAAAATCCCCACCCCCCACCATCTATACTGGCTGGTTTAAGAATTGTCTTCTGCACCTTCAGGATGCTCAGCTCCTGCTGAGGTGGCGGAGAACCAGCGTCGCTGACATTCCCGCTCTGCTCAGAGTTTTCCTGTGACAGCTTCACGATGACCTGATCTTTGGCCTGGATGGTCTCCATCAGCATCCCCAGCTGGTCATTAATTTCCCCCACCTTGATTTTCAGGCCCTTCAGCTCCTGCTGCAGGCTCTCCTTCTCCAGAGAGAGACGCTCCATGTGTCCACATAGCGACTGGATCTGTACGTCTCGCTCCTGGAGGACCGCCTCCAGCTGGGCGACGTCCTCCTGGGTCACGGCCGGACTGGGAGCCTGGTCCGGGGCCGCGGACGGATCTGGAGCTGCTCGCCATACGCTGGGCCTCTCGAACTGGGAGGTTCTGAGAGTCTGTTGCAGGAGCCTCACCAGCTCCTACAGGGGCAAGAGCAGATCTTTTCAGAATTAACAAAACCTGAAGCTTAAACTGTGAAAACATCAAAGCTATGGCAAGCAATCAACTACATTTATTTTGGTGGGTAAAAAATATAGAGAAAGTCACAGCTTATGGAGAAGCTGTGATAATTTTCATGCTCTGACTTTCTCCTGTAGTTGTAGCCATCTTTGTTTCTATTAGGCTGCATTCTAAGACATAACATAAAATATTATTACCACCTTATTTGGAATCATCAGTATCTGAAAGCATCCTACCTTATTAATACATCACAACATCAAGTCCTACAATATGTGTTGAACTCAAGGTCCATGGGCCAAATCTGGACAGCCAAAACTATTTATGTGGCCCTCTAGACTCTTAGAGGGCCACATAAATGGAACATTGAGTCAACTGTCGTGTGGTTAAAGTGCCAAATAACATCAATGTGAGAATGTTAACCATTTAATTTTAAGAAGTACTCTTTAAATGAAGGGAAAGATGTAATATTTTAACAGTTTGTAACGGGTAGTTTTATCAGCGCATTCAGTCACAACCGGACCTTTGAGGACATTTGTGATCTTGATGTGACCTGAAATGAAATTGAGTTTGACATCTGTGTCTAAACGGTCAAAATATGTGTTCAAATCCCGCTCAGTTAACACGAGAAATGAGGCATCTGAAGTGCATCAAGGTGTAAAATTCTTTTGGATATTATAACGAGGGTTCCTACAGATTTTTCAATTAAAAATGTACAATTATTTTCATAACCTATACACTTTGGTAGCATAGCGCCATTTAGCTGCTTTTTGTGGCAACTGAACTTACTTGAGTCAGCTCTACCTTTAAATCTATAACTCTCTCAAGAAAATAATACAAACTCTTTGAAACATAGTTTGTAAACTTTGGTGCATTTACTTAATTTCCTAAAATTAAAAAAAAAAAAAAAACATTTAGTGTCTTTGCCATCTTAACCAGGCCATGTGACAGACAAACAGACTGTTCATCTTAAACAAGCAAAGTGATTTTTAATGCTACAAGATACAAAGTTACTGACCACAAGAGAAAACGTTTCCGTCGATGTTCCAGCCCTCACTTACACCCAAACAAGAAAACAGGACAGGAAGAGCAGGATCTCAAATACAAGCAGCAGGTTTACAGCCTGGGAGAACTCAGAGTAGAGTTCCTGCTTTTTTTGGTTTTTTTTAAAGAACCAGTTCAGCTAGTTAAGAATCCTGTTCTTAACTAGTTCAACTGTTCCTCCTGAAGGGAGGCTTTCCAAATGTATCAGATCTCTCTGCCGGCTTGGAAACGTCCATTGTGACTTTTGGTCCTTATAATCTTTTATTGCTCAATATAATCTTTGTGCATGTATTTTTATTTATTTACTTTTTTAATATAAAAACAGTTTTGAAAGTAGTAATGCAACACATAAAAAGAAAATGAACAACATTGTGGCTCCAAGTGTGTGGAGGGGAAAAAAAACAATTCACTGCATCAGCTCTGAAAGGGTTAACCTGAGAAAATGCGATGTCTCCTTTAATAGGAGTCACTTTTAGCTAAAGCAACCAATCAGCTGTGGAGAAATAAAAAAAGAAAAAAAAGGAGAACAGGAAGAAATGGGGAGAAATGCAACAGCTGTGATTGTTTTCGACAGAAATGCTGTTTCCTTGTTTCAGACTAAAGCGTGACTAATCACTCCCTGTCTTCCTGTATCAGTGAGAGCTGAGAAAAGACACCCAACCTCTTAGTCTGACATGGCAAGAAAGGACGTGGGAAAGCACAATGCAAACTTTGAATTAAAAGAAGTCTGTAAAAAGTTTGTATTATAAAATAAAGCATCATAAAGTTTGATAAAGTATAAAGAGGAATAAGCTCACCTTCTGGCTGGCCAGCTCCTCCCGGAGTTTGATTTGCTCCTGCTGCATCTGGTTCATCTCATCCTGCTGGTTCTGGAGGCGGAGCTGCATCTCCAAAGATTTGCTGCCGTTGCATTCCCCTGTCGGACTCCCAGAACCGCGTCTCTCCACGCCGCGTGCGAACTTCCCTGGTCCCCGCACGTCTCGGAGCAAGAGCCTCTGAGGTCGTTGGCGGTTTCGCACGAAATCGAAGGTGAACGCCGAGCCAAAAGAATCTGAGCAAGAAGAGGAGCAGACGCGGAGAGGAATGCTAGAGCAGAATTCATCTCCAAGCAGTCGTGGGTGACCGAGAGTGGACTCACGTCTCTGTGTGTCCAGATGAGGTTTCTGTTCGGTGAAGTCCTTAGGGGGAGCGTCCACCATCTCCCACTCCTCTGAGCTGCTGTTGTGGTTGCCGGTGTAAAACACGCTGCGTCTGTTCTCCACTCGGCCTGGCCGCAGATTGGACATGGAGTTCCTTTAAAAGAGGAGAGACTGGTTTAAACTCGACTGTTCGCAACTTTGTGAAAGTTACTAGTCGAAGTTCCTAAAAGTCAGCCGAGGAAAACGAAGCTGCAAAAAACAACACAGATCCCTTAGAAACAATCCAACTAAATGATGACTTCATTTCCACAAAATGTCCTTCTAGTGTAAAACAATACAGAGGACCTCAATGACATATTTATGCACTCTCAGCTTATTCGCATTTAGTCAAGTTCCAAACAAAACTTTATTTCTTCAGATTTTATGTGACAGACCAACTCAAAGTAACTGAAAAGGAAAAGAAATCTCAAAAGAATATATTTGACATTCCAGCAACTTTACTCTGATCTATGCAAATAAAAATCGAATGCTACCAACTGCCTTTAGAAATAATTTAGTCAATAAATAGAGTATTTTTATCTAGAACATTCTCTAGATAAAAAAAATCTGTTCTATGATGATTAAAGCAACAGCAGGTAACAAAATAACCTTAGCTTTGAATCTCATATAGCACTGTTCAATGTACCGTGGGAAAACATAAAAGAACGATAGATGAACTCCAAACTCATCAAGACATGGTCAGCAAAAACTGTCAGGCCAGGAAATAATAATTTGGTGACAGAATAATTAGTCACCAAATGTTTCAAATATGGCATTTGTGGGAGAGCAATGAGAAAAAAAAAAACTGCTATTGAAAAATGTTATGAGAAAAACCGACATGTTGTGCAGTGCTAGTAGAGACTTAGTGAAAAAGACTTACAAACTGAAAGATAAGCAGAAAGATATAGGTACTTAAGTTTTTATTTATTTTGTATTGACAAAAGTACAATAATTACAAATGAAAACCATATACTTTAGATTTTTATGAGTAAACAAAATCTGAAAACATTCATGGGCTGCTCTGTGTTAACACGAATTATGCGTTTGATGATGTGAAAAACATGTTGAAAAGTTCAAGATTACCTCAGTAGGGAACTTCCTATTCATCATCATACTGAGTTTAGTAAGAAATTCAACACTAGCAGCATTTGATTCTGAGGTACGAACACTTTGTCACAACATGAAAATGTAACACATGCTGTACATCTGTTTCGGGATCAAATCTTTTGAGCAAATATGTCTACGTGCTAGAAAGAGGAACTCTTGATTGTTGAATAGTTGATAAACTAGTGAACTACAGATGTGACCACTTCCTCTACTACCGTTGGCCTCAAGCAGAACCAAAGCGATTTTCTTCTCTCATTTAGAGACGCAAACCAGACAAAGCCTGCAATAATTTGGCAGCAAGCCTACAAAAAACCCTGAACTTTGTAATAAAACAGCTGGAGGTACAAGTCACGCTTTGAAGAGCTCTCACTAGGCTTCCAGCCTTACCTGAGCTCTGTACCAAAGTTTTTGAGGGAGAAGGGCCCTCTGGCTGACTGGATTCCCACCATCCCTCCTGCATCCATTTCTGTGTCCATAGCAAAGTCGCTGCGGACTTTCTCCATGCTGTCACTTAGCTTCTCAACGAAGAAAGCATCTGAAAATCATAACAGAGTTTGTTAGAATCAACTAATAAGTGCAATAGTCCAACTGCTTCATCTCAAGAAAATATACTTGATAAACGTAGCCGGTAAAAGGATGCAATAAGTTTGAGTTAAATAAGGAAAGCTAATTATGTTTCAACTTTCTGATATCCTGCAGAACGACTCAAATCAGATATTCTTTTCTTTCGTGTATGGAAACATTTCACGAAGGATCAAGGACTTATAACAAAAAAAAAGAGGGAAAAAAGCAGAAGAACAAAGTTGTTTGATAAAATTATCTAGAAACTGTGAGATCTCAGTCTGCTTAAATGTTCAAACTAAGTCAACTACTAAACAGCCCTGTTTCGTTTTACATTTCAAAGTCTGATACGTAATCAATAACATTTGTTGATCTAACAAAAATGTTGACCTTTCACTCAAACCAAGATGTGAGGAAAAACAACAGGCCTAACAGTCATTCTGGTAAGCAGCTTCACACACATTTCAACACAGTTAAGAAACAAAGAAGTGTACTTGTGTCAAAATTGAGAGAACACAGGATATGATGATGCAAATCTATCGCTTCGCAGACTGAGAAACATGCCCAGCTTTGAATCGAGCCGCAATGAACTGCAAGCAACAAACAACAAATATCTCTTTAAAATATTAGTGGGTGTGTGATTAAGTGTAACAAATGCTCTATTCCAGGATAAGTGTGATTTTAATATTAATCATCAAAAGCATTCACAGTTCTCTGCAGCTGTAACCAAAGTTGCACTTAACTCCAACGTGCACTGATCAGCTCCACGAAGCGACAGTTGCTGGTCCACAAAGTCTTCAGTAACCATTGCTTGATTTTCACTTTTTTTTTAAATTACTGCATCTATAGTAAAAACATTCAGATAAAGAGCAACAGTTTGTTACTCCACGGTTGACCATATTTTATGATCGCCTGTGGTTAAAGGCGATCATAAAATATGACAGGTCAAGGTTAACTTGCACCCCACATCCTCTGCAGGCTTAGTTTAACTGAGCTGCCAATACCAGAACCGTCACCTCCACCTTGATTGGATATATCCAAAATATTAAGGCATCCGTTACCCAGATTTGGTTTTTGAAAACTAATTTAAATGCAAGACATCCCAATAAAACACCCACTGCCAATTGACTGAACATGCAAATTTGCAGCAAAACTCAGAGAGAGCACAACTATTCTATTTTTTCTTAAGCTGAAATCATAGATGAACAACAACACAAACAATATCCAAAAACACTAGAAAAGAAATCATGCCAACATGATGAATGCAGTAACCTTATAATTATTTCAGCTTTTCCATTATTTATACAGATAGCAATTAGTAGTGCACTAATCGATTGGCCGGCCGGCCCCAGTTTCCTTAACCTTGGGTGATCGGCAATCAATACATATGTGAAACCAATCTTATCCATCTCCGCAAAGGTCTGAAAAGAAGAAAACAGGCCCATAGTCTAACCTAATATGCAAGTTTTGTTTGTTTTTATAATGTGACAAATACTAAGTGAACAGATTATTTTTAGTCTAATTAATTTAGTAGTTTGGAGAGCAATGCTTTTCATTTATATTTGAGAGCACTACCTCATGTGCGGATAGAACAAGTTTGTATTGTTTCACAGGTATCGTTAGATATTTTTCAATAAAGCTGGAATGTTGAAGATGTATTGTGACCTTACAGGACCTCAAAGCGTCGGTTCTTAAAAGAAGAAAAAAAGAAAAAGAATTGGCCTGTTAGCCTTTATAAAGATCGGTGATTGGTCAGAAAACTAAAGGTAAAGGTTTAAGATAAAATAACCCTGTTGGGTATGTCAACATGCCAAGTGCATCAAGAATGAGCAGATATGTGTAGAAACAAACTTCTCTGTGAACACACCTACACATATACAGATTTTTGAGGCAGGACTACAACAGTTTTAGCTCCGACAATCTCACTTTTTTTTACAATTATTATTAGACGCACTGCAAATGAAAGAACATTTGCAACACTTACACACTGGAACACTACTGTGAAAAGGTTTTTGCCCTTTTACATACAGTATTCCTTCTATTTTTGCTATACTGTTACCCTGTCAAAGAAGTTTTAATATCAAATAACTCGAGTTAATACAAAAAGGTTTACATTTATTATTTCATTAGTTAAACCAGTCTGACCTCTGCGGAAAAAAAAAAAAAAAACTTTTGTATTTACACTGACAGTGTTTGACAATGACATTTGTTTTAAACATATATACATGTTGTACTTCCTCACAACATTGCAGGAAGTGGTAACCAATGCTGATTGAAGCTGATCAACTCCCGAAAATGCCAATTATTATTATTTGGTGTGTGCTAATAAAAAAGTCCCTTCTTTTATGTGTTTAGTATTAAAATGAATGAATTATTCTCAAAAGACATATTTTTAAAAATATAGTATAGAGTTATATCATCCACAAAATATTTAGCAACTATTCTTAAATAAAAAAAAGTCAAAACTCTTGGCAGAGATACCCCTTCATCTCAGAAAAAAATGACTTCAGAAGTTTTGACCTGCATCAAGCTCAATTCATGTCCAACATGCTAGTCTAAATACCCTTACACAGACCCAGATGAGGAAAGATAACTCAGGTATTTGAACATTTTGAAGACAAAGATAAGAACAGGGAACACTCTAGAAAGGAGAAAACATGAGTTGTTTGCATAGAAACAGGAAAGAAGGCAGGATTCATAGTTCAGATCACTCAGCTGAATGACAAACCCCCCCCCCATGTATAAATGCATGGTGCTTAAGCAAAAACAAATAAGACGCTGCAGGTCAAAGAACAATTTTAAGCCCATTTCCGTCCCAGGTGAAATGTCAATAGTGTCATTAAGCAAAAATCCAGCTCTAATATCATTAATGTCAATTCACTTTCTCTCTCTTAGATTCTAATTTTTTAAGAGCCTCACATTCCAACACACTGTTTCCAGAGAAACACAAAAACCCTGAAACCAAATATTTCCGATAGTTCTGTTTGTACCAGAAAGTAAATATTAATCTGCTGCCTACAGGAGGTCACAGTCGCCTGATGTGTGAGAATGGTGGGGCCGTTGCTGAATGTGTGTGTTCTTGCCTACCGCTGTCCTTGCCCACGAGGCCGGTGGGAGGGTAGGCCTGCGTGGGAGAACTCCAGCTGTCTCTCTTCCCTGTGCCTCTGGTGTTACTGTACTCCCAACGCTTCTGCTGCAACTCCTGGAGCCAGTAATGCATCACCTGTCTGCTGGGGGCCTGGAAACAAGTGCACACACCTAGTTATTCACGTGTATAGGATAAAAAGAAACTTCCTCTGTCAAAGGTTGCAGTGGAGCATTTTAAATAGGCATAGGGAAGTTTCCAGCATCAACTGAACACCTTTTTTCTATTTTGAAAGTCAGATTCAAAAGAACTAAAATTAGTCTTAGAAAGTTTTGGCCAGCTGCTTGGCACGAGAAAGAGTGACGTTTCCTCCCCCACCTGTTGCTGCAAACAAATGGTGGCTCCTATCGTTTTGCCTTGCTTGCAAAAAACACAAGGTCATCTGATTGAAAAGCTGTGGTTGAAAACTTGATGTAGTGTCACTAAGCATTTTTAGTAAAGTATCAAAATTTAAAGAGTATTATCTGAAAAAAAAAACCCTTTAAGGAAGCTTATTTTATCATTATTAAGCTACTGACTGGAAAGATCAACCCCCCTGCAAGATAAAGAACGAATGCATGAAACTATCAGTAGCAATTCTATGGAAGAGCCAATATAGCTGAGATATTCTTTCTTAATTTTGTATTTAGGAGCAATAATTAACACCTCCATTTTGTCAGGACTTAGCTGGAGAAAATGATAATCTAATTTTTGTTAGTACCTGATTAAACTAGACGACTCATGGAGCTCAGATGCCCCAGCAAAAGGGTAAAGTTGGAGGTCATCTGCATAGATAATAATCACATTTACAAGAAACCACACTGAAATGTATTCTCATGAAAAGAGGAGTTGTTTTGCTACAACGTTTCCCAGAATTTCGACTCAGGCATTGTGCGTACTGCTGCAGGAAGAATAACCGGAGTGATTGTTATTCTGTTCACACTGCCCATCAAAAGCGTAACGTTGTCCTAGTTTGAAATGGTAAGATATGAAGTTCTGGCCCGTTTAGCCATGTAATTCAACAAGTTACAGCCAACGGACTTTGAACTTGGCAGCTTTAAGTAAACAGTTAAAATTGTGGATATTTTAACTAATCCAGTTGAGTTAATAAAAGTAATAGTCGGGTTTCTATTAGCTTTCTACACTGAGAAAGCAAAAAATGATTGTATGCAAGAGGAAAGTGTAGATAGTTTATTTCGATCCAGCTGACGAGCAGTGCACAGCAATAGATAGGGGCGGGGCAGTGCAACATTATACATTTCGTAGCTAGAGGAGACTATTGTGCAAGTAATGTGTTCTCTGATCCCACATGAAGAGGACAATAAAACTGAATTTTGACCAGCAGTAAGCCTTTAGAGTCTTGACACACACAATGAAAGATCAAGTTTATGATACCACAAGAATCTCAAATGAGTCCATATCCAATTTTAAAAATACAATGTTTCCACTCTGCAGTTACAATGATTTAAAAAAAATAAAATAAATTGTGCATTTACAGTCCAGGAGCTCTACAAATAACTGGTTACTCTTTGGCTCAGTCATGTGAAAAAGCAGAGAGGCTGGTTTCAGTCTCAGTTCCAGCCTCTAGCTGTACAATCTGTTTGGTATTAGCCAGTCAGACCATCTGCTGAAAAGGAAACTGACTTTAGACAGTGGGAGCCAGGCCACCTGTTTTACTCACAGTCATATGACGGCAGAGAAGACTGAGACAGCATCACATGAAGTGCTGTAACTAGGGAGCCCAACAGTGAGTGGGTTAACACTCACTGCTTTAACAACTTTAACACTAACAAATACCAGAAGCCCATTTTTCAAAGCTGCTGCTTTTACTCCAGTTGGTTATAGATACTGGCTGTATGATCCCCTTATAACAGCTTTTCGTTTGATTATGTAGATCACAGTTTCAAGAATTTCTAAAGGCAAAAGTAAATTAAGCCAAGAAAAGAGTAGATTTCATCAAATATAGACAATATACTAGAGTCAGGATTTAGCTCCAAGGTTTCATTTGGAAAAGAATGCAAACTGAATGCTTCTTTATTTTAAAGAATGAAGCATGTCTTTTGGTTGAACAAAAGGGCTGTCACAAGCGAATATTCTGAGTTTTATTTTTGCTAACGAGCAGAACATTTACCAAACATAATTTTTTTCAGAATATTTCCCTACATTATCTAAAAGAGAGAGAAAAAAAGGGTCAATTATTTTAAGCACTGAAACTTTATTGCATACATTTTGATGAATAATTATGTCAATTTTGACACATAAATTTTTTTTTAAACAGTCAAAAAAAATTTTTTTAGATACAAAAAATTCTGGTTGAAACCTTTGTATTTGCACATTACTGGTACCACCGTATCTCTGACGCACAAGCCACAAATACAAGCAATAGATGACAACGCAGCACATACTGTAGGCTATATTCTGCTTAAAAAAAGACAAGATGAGACAGCAGAAAAATACAATAGTGCACAAGTTGAGCATGCAGTAAGGAGTTGATCTTTTTGTCCTGGAGCCGATAACAACTGTTTAATTTAGCATCAAGACGAGTTTTCAAATTTAAAATGTTGCTTATTTTGTTGATCTAAAATGTGACTCTACTTTTGTAAGTATAATTTTGCATAGCAACATTTTACATATTTTAGTGAAAACGGAAGGGGAAATTATTCATTAATTTCATTTTTCAAAATGCTGCAGTCGTCTTTAGTTATCCTTTATATCCTACATACAATGCCTTGTCACCATCTAAAAGTTCTGTGAGTGCCTTTTCAGATTAATTTGTTTGCTTTGATAAACATTGGATATTTTCGTATTGTGCCAAGTCTCATAATGTATTTATTAAAAAAAAAAAAAAGTAATGCAGAGACTGATGTGGATGTCAGCGAAAAACATTGATTCACCTCAACTAATTCATTGTTTTCTTGCTAGTTAACTTTAATGCAAAACATCATAGTTAATTTTTCATTGCCAAATGTAAAAACTAACAAGAAAACAGGGAGGTCTGTGGAAATGTGGAGGATGACGGGCCGTCAAATTAAATTCTGCTCAGGGCCTCATTCAATTTTTGGTCGGCTCTGAACACACACACACACACACACACACACATACCCACACCCACACACACACAATCAGCTGGTGAATTCTCGGCCTGTGGTAGGTTATTTTCAACACAACTTCTCTAAAAAATCTCTGCCACTCGACATATTTCCACGGGTGTTTTGAAAGTAAAAAGCAAAACAATTTGTTAGAAAGGGTGTGTCTGTCGCCTTTCCTGAGACAGAAAGGAAGCGACACATGACAAAAACAATTATCTACCGAGAGTTGTGATAGAACTGTTGAAATAAGTTTCTACCTTCAAGAGAAATTCTTTCCCAGCTGTACGGATCTCGAACTGTCCCTCTTCCCCCTCCACGTCGTACATGAAGCAGGCATCGCCTATATCAATGTGTCCGAGAGGCAGGGCATCTTGGGGAGTCTTGAAATAATACAAGTAACATTTCCTCGGGTCGTACACGAACCACCTCAGTTTGTAGCCCCTGAGAGGCCCCTTGCCGGAGAGTTTGTTCAAGTAGCCGCACAGCTTGGAGGCCTGCTCCTTCGCTCCCTCCACCTCGGCCACATCGAGAGACTTGAAGGACTGCAGCCGTGAAACTGTGCAGGAGCTCTCCCCGCTCCCATCCTCCTCTTCGTGCATCTTTCCTAGAAGTTTCTTCTTCTTCTTCTTGCAGCCCCGCAGATGGCAACTCCTGGGTCCATCCGCATGACTGCTTTCCTCAGAAAGGGGGTGCTGGGAAATGTAGTTTGAGGTAATTGTGACGTGTATGAGAGGCATCCGCTCGCTGAGGGCTGTGCCACCGAGAAGCGCCACAGGGAGATGCTGTTTTATAAGGCAAGGAAAATAAAGCGACAGACCGGAAGCAGAGGGTAAATAAACACTTCTCTACTTTTTGTGAGAGATTAAATTAGGAAATTAAAATTGCTCTTTTATTTTAAAACATGAGATATAGTGTGTAGGATTTAAAACAAAATATAAATTGTTTTGAGCTTAGCTTGTTATGTCCTCCAAATTTAGAAGAAAAGTTAAACTACAGCTTTTAGAGATCCATCACACCTAAGAAATATCTTGAATTGACTTTTGCAGCTGATTGTAAAAGTGCGTAATTCCTATTAGGTACGTCTACATCCAACTGGAGGCTCCTTTATCTGAATATGTTAATAGCCCTCCTACCAAGTACATGTCAGTCACCTGTTGCTTCAGTTGCATTCACCATTAGCCTCACTGCCCACATTTATGTAATACTTTAACTGTGTAGCTTTCAACACTATTTTATCATTTTGTATTTAGGTGTTTTTATTAGTCAGGTGAATGAATGGATGTTGAATTAATGTTTGACAGCTTATGTCTGGTGAATAAACTTGATAATAGTTTTCACAATACCCAAGATATGAATTAGTTGTTGAATCTTTCAAATTCAGACTGTGAAGAAGGTCGACTGAATGACTGACAGGTTGATTTAGAAACATGCTCCGTGTGTGAGCCAGATCTAGAATAACAACACATAAATGTGATGAGCTGATGCTGCAAGTAGGTTAAGATAAGAGTTATCTTTTGAGGGGGGGGGCTTCCCCACACATGCTTAGTATGTATGTTATGCATTCAAGTCATGAAATTGCTATTAACTTAAAAACAAATTCAAAGTAATAAGTACAACATGGATATGTTTTCTGCACATCATGTTTTCCTTTCTCCCACACTTCTGCAGCACCTGCGTTGTCATTCCATTCAACGCATGCTAGAAAGTACAGCTGCAAAAACAAAACGTAAGATATACACGATCAAAGATGATTGTGACCTCAAAAATTTCTTACAATGTGAACAGAACTGTGGTGGTATTTATAATCAATCTCTCTCCTTCTTGTAAAACCTTCAGCTGACTGAAGATTAATGCTGCTTTGGACTACAGTTAATTCATATCAAAGCTGCAATCTCTGATGTGGGCGTGCACTTAATGTATTTCACAGTATGACTCATAAGAGGAGAAGAAGGAGAGTTCAAGCTGCCGGAACTCACTCTGAAGGTGAAACAAAAACACACTTCAGATGATTAATGGGTACAAACCTGTTGTACTAGGGTGTATGTGGGCCCCAGTACAGTGAGTAAACAGTAGGTGATTAGTGTTATGCTGGGAAATACACCTGTTGTTTTTTTCCCATTTTGAACCAGCGCTTTACAGTGAAAAACCCCAATTACAAGTTCTGATAATCCTCTGGTAAGACTCATATTCTAGCTACTTAGGAAAGCTTAAAGAGTTCAGGAGGTTGTTTGTTTTACCTCGAGGCATGAAAAGCAGACAGACGGGATGCGGTTCAGTTGCTGTGACATTTTATGGGCGTCAAATTGTGACCTTTCAAGGTTACACATCCCCCCCTGCTGAGAGGTGGGCTGTCATAAAGCCACTGTAACCAAAATAGTTCAAACAGCTTCTTGAAGCTGTTCATTTTGTTTTTAGGAACCTTTTATATTCACTTTTAATCAGTTGAATGTTGACAAATCTTTTGCATAGCAACATTTGTTCTAAGTTTGTTCTTTTCAAAGATGGGTATGGTGATAAGAATTGACCTCAAACCTCACATCTCCCCCAGAGGAGTGTGCTATGAATCACAAAGTGCTGTAAAACAGACAGTCTACACTGCTACCAGTATGCTGAAATTATAGGCTATGCTACTGTAGCGGTTGTTAGTCATACATGGAACATAAGGTACGGTGATTGACTTGATACTTATTCTTCATGTGTAATATAAACACACACACACAAAAATCACAGGAAAATGTGAGACCAGAATCAATTTAAGAAAATGTTTAAATGAAATTATTCTCTTATTATTCTCAGAAAAATAAGAGAATAATTTACAGTGCCAAAAAAATGATCCCGTTACATATCATTGCTAATAAATGAGACCTGGCTAAATCTTAACAAATGGCCTTTAGAAAGGGTAACAAGAAAAGAACCTTAACCTGTCATTCACAGGTTGTCATTCACAACACGAGAGGACCCAGATTTGGGTCCTCTCGTGAATGACAGGTTAAAACCTTCATAACCGTACTGTTGCAAAAATGACTGATAACATACTTAACAAAATAACATAAATAAATCATAAACCAACCATATTCAGAAGTTTGTTGCAATGAGAGACTTCTCTTTTAGAGACATTGTGAGGAACATCTGATTTTCAAGAAGAAAATAAAAAACATGTTTTTAAAAAAAATAAATAAATAAACAACCAGTCCACCTAACTGCAATGGCCTTTAAGTGTGCTCAGTGCACATAAATGCACCGTTGAAGAAAATGCATTGTTGAAGCATTAATGCAGAACATTTGTAAGAATCTGTGAAATGCTTGGTAAATAAAATTAGATTTGATGAGATCCAAGTTTTTTTTGTTGTTTTTATTTATTTTTTTTTAATGTTCTAAGGAGGAATATCACTGAACATCATCTCAAAACAGTCTCCAGAGCCTTTAAAATTTGAAAAATTTGTGTGGAGAAAAAAAATGGGTCGACATCGCTCCCACTACATGCAAGTACAATAAAAACTATTTTCTTTCTCAAAGATTTATTTTGATTTTACTTTTTAACACTTGCACGCGACTGATCATCATATCATTTTAAAAATCACACAACATAAGTAGCAGGTAAAATGCAGCTCTAAATTAAACTAAGGTAATGAATGAATTAATTCAGGAAAAACAAACTATAAGCCATATTTGAAACATGATTTCTGCCTGAACTTAATAACTAGCCGCGCTACCTTTAGCGCAACATCAAAAGTGTTTGCCATAACTGCTAATGAGTACGTAACATCATTGTGGGGAATTCGGACCCACTTTTCTGTACAGAATTGTTCTACTGCAGCCACCCTAGAAGACATTAAAACAACGGCCTGTTTAAGGTCATACCACAACCTCCAAATTGGGTTTAAGTTCAGACTTTGACTAGCCCACTCCACGTCAATACCTCCATTAGAAATATAGTTGCCGAGAAAATTACTGATGTGTCTAATACTTATTTTCCCTACGAAGGGAGTAAACATGCTGGAGTTACGTTGCCTTTGTAGAGGGGGAATCTGAAATCACGTCTTATTTGTTCTCCATGACACAGAGTATTTCTGCCTTTTGGCTCTCCCCCACTGGGACTTCCTACCATGCTCTACAGAGCCGAACCTAAATGATTCATGACAACAGTCTGAGCCATGGGGGGAATGAGTTGTGCTTTTTTTTATGAGAACCTCAAAAGCAGACCCGGGGAAATGTCTCATCTTTTCAGAAGCTTATTAAGCCCCATTGAAAACATATCAAACCTTCCCAAATATTTCCATCCCTCCGTCTGTTTAGGTCCTTCCTTACAAACTTGATCTGAATTCACAGCACCTCCCCTAAAAACACACACAGAAAAACACACTGACGCATCTTCTCATCCGTCACTACGGTAATCAGACGCTCCATGGGTAAAACATCTCCCCCTTTCAAACCAATGCATACGTTTGCTCACAAACCACTGTTTCTCTACACGTTGCTTTCCGTTTCTCTTCAGGAAGCGTTTGCTTTGTTCAACAACCCTCAGCTCTCTTTGTTATGCAAATGACTGTCGTGCCGTTGCGGAGTACCTCTGCTTTCCAGACCAGTGGAAAAATATGTGTAATTGTAAATGTCATCTGTCTATATCTCTCAGTGTGGGGTCACAATCAAACCATTTTCAGTTGGAGATTACAGAGGTTCAGAAGCTGAGAGGAGAATTTTAATGTTTGCTGCAATGACAAGGGGTTCAAATCTCACACTGGTAACCACAAGGACAGGTATGTACCCCACTCACCGAGAACTATTTTACTGGAACACAATGGGAGCTTTACAGTGAAATTTGATTCATTTTCTTCAGGGATTGAGAGGAGCTGCTGCGCACTGTGTCGACAACAGAAAGCCAAATCTGAAAATATTTGCTACTTTTCGCATTCAAGACAGAAGGAGGAATACCAGACGAAGACTCCCTGCATTAAGACACGTGTGAAGTTTTGTTTCAAGGTAAGAAATAAACCTGTCACTAGCAGCTTAAAGTTCATTCATGATTTAGCTATTTTAACCCGCCTGCAAAGTATATATTACATCAGTTGTTGTGAAAGGGTGACATAGGTCAGGCCTTTTCTATTTTTTGGATATTTAACTACGGGTTTGTTAATGCTAATAAATTCTATATATAAACAGTAAACAAATTGTGTACTATAATAGACAGGATGGGTTTATTTTTTTCCCCCTGTGCCGTAATCATAAAAAAATAACATACAACAAGGCCTTTTCTATTTTTTGGATATTTAACTACGGGTTTGTTAATGCTAATAAATTCTATATATAAACAGTAAACAAATTGTGTACTATAATAGACAGGATGGGTTTATTTTTTCCCCCTGTGCCGTAATCATAAAAAAAATAACATACAACAAGAACATTGTGCTGCCTTCAGGCTTTGAGTGACGCCTCCTGGAAAATAAGCAAATTAGATTGTTAAAATACCGACCTGTTCTGGGCAGTGGGGAATAAATCCTGCTTGTGCTCACTGGACGCCTGTGTTACTTTGAACAGGACAAAGTGAGGATGGAGCAAAGGGAGCCGACTGTGGATCCTGCTGCTGAAGTTGCGGAGGGGAGGTTTAGAGAGTTGGCCACCAAGTGGTTCATAGATTCTCAACTGCCTTTTATTGTCAACAACGGCCTCTTCCCCAGCTGGTTCCTGGGCTTCATTAGCAGAAAGTAAGTATTCACAGAAGATGTCCTGTTATTTTGCACATTTCACACTCATG